AATGCAAAGAATATCTATCTTTTTATGAATCATAATATCTATTGATTTCATTAATTTGCCTGTAAAAGAACCTATATTCCAAGTTTCTATCCTAATTTTAGTTTCATGGAGTAGCTTCTTTGCCCACATCCGTCCATGATGTAGGAACCCTTGCCTATTTAACACTGCACTCGGGAGTCGATGCAGCAACCGTTGCTCACTTGTCGCTGTATTCAGGCCATACAACGTCTCTTCCAAGGAACGCCCTAGCATTAACACATTAAAGGATTCATGTCATGATTATTCAACAAATTTTACGCTAGCTGTCAACTACCTAATACAACGCTCACTTTTCTCATCCCGAACTTGAGACCTCACAACGACAGTGTTCATAAATAAATTTAACGAAAAAAAAGAGGTGAGAGACCACTCAGACCAACATAGAGTGCTTGCTTATGCTGAAATAGCATTCACATTATGGTAGAAAATCAAAGGGGGCAAAATTGCCAATTTGGAAAAACGAGATGTTGCTTGAGTATCAAATTAATTTAACAGCCAGTTAGTAGCCATTGATGCCAATTCTGCCTTGTTTTAACAAATTAGTAAAAAATAATAAAGGTATATCCTAGCATGACGGAAGTCAATCTCGAGTGATTGTGACCTTGGTATATTATCATTGACGATTCTTAGAGGGATATCCTAGCATGACGAAAGCCAAAATTACTAAAAAAGCACCTAAAAGTCTTGGTCAAGGCTCCGTGACTCTTGGATTGGGGTCCACTCAATAATGCCCTAATATTATGGGATCTAAATAGGGTTTACCTCCACTTCACAACTATATTTCTCAACATCAAATGATGCAATAGGGTTGATAATATACATTTCACCCGTAAAAAAAAACATATAAAGACGAGCATATTGACCTTAGTAATCATGAGTACTATCCCAATAAGAGTAGTTAACTATAAGGGCTTAGGCCCATAGGAAGTCTCGACATCAAATCTAAATAAAGTCCTAAACATTAGACAATAAGTTGGTTCTTTAAATTCCCTCTTGAAAATACTTCTACTAGGTTCTTGCAAACCAAGGGAGCTCTTAAATTCCAAAGCCTAAAGCTTGATGAAGATTAGATACACACTCCAAAAGATTGATAGGTTCATTGATGCTTAAAATCAAAACCAATCTTCAAGGAACGCTTATGTATATGCAAGCAAGCTAACTTTTGTCAAGATTCATTTTTTTCTCTTAGGTTAAATTGAGTAAAAAAACATTAAAAAAATCCCTTATTTTTTATTATTTCTCCATCATCATCATCATCATTAGTCATATCCCAACTATTTGAGAAAATGATTAAAATAGACTCTTTATTCAAGTCTTTACAAAGAAATCAAAATAGTCCCTTGATGAGACTATTTTAGTTCTTCTTTAAGGAGTTAAAGAACCAAAATGGTTCTTTAATATAATTAGGGACTATCTTGGTCTTTCATAAATAGTCAATCAACCATTTTAATCCTTTCTCGCAACTATTTCTAGTCAACTTTAAGAATCCTTATTTTCCGTCGCTCGTGTTGAATGCATACTAAAATATTAAACCCATTCTTCACAAATCATTTTGAAAAACCTCTATGCATATAACCTTAAGTATTCATCTTCTCTTTCCTATTCCTCTGATATTAGTTTTATCTACTCATCTAATGGGATCACTTTTATCATTAATTTTAAATTAACAATCCACCAAAGTCCATTCTCATTTCTCAATTACCTTATCTTCGATAAATGTTAAGGATACAGAATATGGCAATGAAACGAAAAGCTGAAGAAATGACAGAAGGTTCGAAGAACCACTGCAGCCTAGAACACATCGACAGCCTTTGGACCCCCTTCAAATTGCTTTTGGACGCCTATTAGGGAGTCAAACAGCAGCTGGACCACCCAGATTGGTTGGGTAAAAGGCGGACAGCAGATGGACCCGTTGGTTTAACCGGACTGGCTAGGTCCATGAATCCATCAGACGTCATGTCTCAATTTCTTCTTAAAGATAATCGTTCCTTATTTATTCTTCCATTTTTATCATAAATCAAATTTTAACATTCTCATTCATGCCTGATCAACTCATATATCAATAATTTTTTTTATTATCCAACACTTAGATCCCTATAACATCACCAACATAATTACTGTATAAATTTGAATATGATCATGGGGGAGTGAATGAACACGATTTTTAACCAAGGTAAGAAAACACAAAATAATTCTCATGTGAATAAAAGCACCCAATATTAGTTCAAACTCAATGTTGACTACAAATGCTTGATTACCAAGGGCGTTACCAGACATTTAGGATCATCATAGCATTTAGTTTCTCTAATATAGCAGATTATGGAACGCAATGTCAAAGTTAGATAGATTTCTGCAGGTAACAAAGAGCTAACACTAGACCTCATCAAGGGTTCAGTGATCTCAATCTGAAACTAAAGAACAAGCTTGTGAAATGTTTGAACCTGCAATTAATAATGCTAAAGAGCATTGTGAAGAGAGAACCAATTGTAATTTAGCGATTCTAAAAGAAGAAACATTATCATTGAAATGAACTCATAGGGAGGAAACTATATTAAGAACTGTCTATAGAAATCAGGTATCACAGGAATCAACTAAGAATTCCACTAATACTCACGAGATTGAGTACTAGTAATCATAAATCACTTGGTAATTCATACAAAATTTTGAAGACAGTGGTGCTTTTAAAAAAAACACTTATACTTTAGTGTTAAATGGTCATGTGGAGTTTCTAGAGATTTACACCAAGGAAATTGTTGATTCAGCAGAGAATGATGAATTAATCTCAAACATATTGGGTGTAAAAGGCCATGAAGTAAATGTTTTATTAGAGAATTCAAACCTTAGGGATGTAGTTTTGGTGTTCGAAGTGCCGATGCTCCCGCAATTTCACATGACATGGTACAAGCTTTCAAGGCTGAAGCGGAGAAGAGGAAATGACATGTTGTAAAACTTTAGAAAGCTCACCTATTAGTTATGACATATCCTCAAGCTTGTAGTAGATTCCTTATTACTGAACATCTAAAAATTTCTGAATGACAATATTTGGGTCCGCTTCATGGAATTCCTTATGGATTGAAAAACATCATTGCTATGACTAGCTATAAAACAACATGGGAATCAAAGGTGCTCAAGATCCAAGTTATCGGTACTAGAACTTGAGTTTATAAAAGGCATAAAGAAGAAGGTTCGACCCTTCTTGTGAAGCTTTTCATGGGATCATTACCCTATGAAGATATTTGGTTTAGAATAAGGACCCAAAACCCTTGGAAAATTGAGGAAAGCTCAATTAGTTCATCAACAGGATCAACATCCAATACTCCTATAGGGCTTGCTCCTGATGTTAATAAGCAATTATTTGAAACTCTCTTTCCCTTCTCCTCCAGCTTCGAACAATCTGTCTTTCAATTATCAATCTCCAAACAGAAAGCACACTGATTCTTTCCAAGATTGCACCCACGAGATATAACCCACTTGCTAACGCCCTTTTTCTTATTCTCAGATCTTCCTTGTTGGAGTGTGAGAGCCTCGGTCGAATCCATCTTTACAAATTTCTTGTCACGACACTGGAACTCGTGATTCAACAATGCATCAGTCACCTCACCATAATTCAAAACCTCCTTTTCAACAATGAGTGTCATCGTGAAATTTTTGTACTCATCCATGAGCGAATTCTATAGAAGGAGCGCTTTGTCTTCATCTCCAACATCCTCATCCAAATTCAAAAGATATGCCAACAATTTTGTGAAGTTCTTCAAATGCTCATCAATATTAATCTCATGTCTCATCCAAAACATATAAAGCTGATGTTTCATATGGAGACAATTTTACACACTCCTCGTCATGTCCTTTTTCTCCAAAATCTTCCACAACTTCATCGCGAAAGTCTTCATCATCACCTCATACTTGATCTCCTGAGACAAACAATTTCAGATCAAGCCACAAGCACTCTGATTCATCTTCAGGCAATCTCTCTCTAAAATCTCCTAAGAATGTTCATCGCTCTCTATAACTTCCTCCAAATTCAAAGAGCACAACTCATTCATCACCTCACATCGCCACATGCCAAAATTCTATTTGCCATCAAATTTCTTCACATCAATTTTAACGGGATGTGTAATCATCTGATGATTCAACGTTTTTTCCATCGTCGAAGTGGATGTATCCATGACTCCACCGAACTTCGTAGCCTCCACCAAGTTGTAGCTGCCTTATGACACCGAAATTACACCAATATGGCTCAGCAACAATCCGGAATAAAAATTAACAATCTTTGCTTGCTCGATCTGACCAAATCATGACTCAAAGATTTGCTCCTGTTCTTCAAACCGCCTTTGAAAATCCCATCAAAATCTGGCTTGATAGCAATTGTTGCATAAACATAGCGGAAACAAAAACCATAAATCACACAATAAAAATAATGCAATGAACATGGTGATTTACGTGGTTTGGCAAAAATGACTATGTCCATGGGAAGAGGATGATGATTTCATTAAACTGGAGAACAATATGGATCATAATTTGGCTCTCTTCCTCTCATGTATACAATACAATAAGATTTGAAACAAAGCTACAAAGGAAACCTTAAGTAATGTTATAATATGACAAAATCTAATCATGTCAATTAGATCTCTTAATCATACAAATTAAATATCCAATTTATGCAACAATCAGACCACCAAATTAATGCATCAATCAGATCTCCAATTAAATCAACTGAATTAGGGAAATAATCAACTCCCTAATCAATTACCTAACGAGCCATCAAAGTCTTACAAATCAGGGCTAATCTAGATTTGGAAAGATTTCTAAATGGCATCAATCATGACACTAGAGCTCGGTTACCAAAAAGTATATAAAAGAAACACTACCACATCAAACCATTGAAGAGAAAATTACCTTCAGAACAAATGATTGGTAATAGCCATCCAAAACTATCATCAAAAGAAATAACTGAAACACACCTGTAAGGTCCTAGGTTCCTGAGCCTCACGAATGGCATGAACAAGGGCAGCCGTAGCAAGTGCCTCGATGCTGCGGTTGCGGAGGCAAGTGGCGGAGCAGCAATCACGAAACAGCTGGAACGCATGATCAACAACATCATGGTCAAGTCCAAGTATGGAAGACACGTCGATGATCTGAAGATAAGCGCGAAGATGATCCACCGAAACCATCGGCCCAGCGGGATCCGCCGCGCCCGACCCGGAAGACGATGAGTCTAGGGCACGCTCAAGCTCAGCGAGGTGACCAGCAAATGAGTAAGCTGACCGTGCAAAGACGGGTGAGTGCTCAAGGGACCAGGTGGAAAAAGCCGTGATGAAGCCTGTGGGGTGAAAGGGGTCTTCATCGTTGGAGCAGGAGGGCAAGGAGATTGAGGCAAGGTCGGGGGTGACCAGCGGAAGAGCAGAGTCGTGAGCTTGGAGGAGGAAGAGGTGGTGTGTTTGAGTGTGTCGTTCTTCGATGACTCGGCCGCAGGACGAGCACTCCGTTACGTGGCGTCCGGAGGCGGTGGTGGCGCAGCGGCCCTGGGTGCCAGGGCAATAGGGGCAGCGGACGAAGAACATATTCGCGGCTCAGTTTCTCGATGGGTTCTGAAATATTTGATTTTTTTTTTTGTATAAAATTGCCCATAGTATGAGATAATATATTGTATTTGTGAATTGTTTATTTAAGTTGAAGTCCTTCAAAGCTCATTTGAATTTGAACTAATTAAGGTCTTGTATGGGACCACTTTTTTACTATTTCTTAAAGCATATTTTTTGTTAAAAAAAATTATTTTTTGTAATAAAAAACTGATTTAAGAAGCAGTAACAAAGTTGTCCCAAATGAAACCTAAGACTTCGTTTAGGACAGCTTTCTTACTGCTTTTTAAAGCAACTTTTTAATATAAAATTTTTTTGTTCAAAATATTTTTATGCTAAAAATTGCTTTAAAAATAAAAAAAAAAGTTATCCCAAATAAAGCCTAAAACTCAACTTAAACCCATATTTGAGCCAAATTTGAAGCTGCTTTTAACCTTTTTTTTCGAACTAGTTCAAATTAGGATTTGATTCCTATGTCCATCACATGTTACCCGTCCTATCAATGCATATCCCAATGAGCTCTTTTTCTTCTTCATACATTATTAGCTTTCTCAATTAATAGCTCAAGGAACTTCCCGTCTCTTTCACACAAAGCATAGCCCAATAAGCGCCTCTTCTTCAATATAGGCCTTTGGTTCTTAGATGCCTACCTCCAACAATTCAAATAATAAACATTTCATGAATGCAATAAATTATCTCTTATTATGGGGAAATTCATACAAAATAGATTTTATATCATCTTTCTTCATATAAATATATGACAAATATATTTGATCAATCGCTTATATTATAAGGCATACAAAGTCTTTTTTTTTTTAATTCTATATAAATATACTCTCCTAACATATGTACTTATGAATGTGATCGTTCAAATAAAATGTTAGTTGAATATTTTTTTTTTTTCATAAACATTGAATAAGCTATCGGAAAAGCCGCGTCTTTTCACTATCATGGCCAATTGCTCTTTCTATTTCAGACACATATTCTCTCCCTTCCCGTTTGTAACCCTTCAATCTCCCATAACCCAAAATCCTCTCTCCTTTGACTTTCACTCGTTTAAATCCCGTGCATGGCATCCCTTACGTGCATCCTCTTACGAAGCCATCCAGGATCCGCAGCTGATGGAGTTGAAAGAAACCCTAAGTAGATTTGATGACTCTACAGGCTTCGACGTAGGTGGATACTTCACGTTGACGTGCTTTCCTTCTTCTTCTTCTTCTTGGAAGAGGATTATTAACGTATTTCTAATTTATTGTTGTTTTAAGGCTGATGAAGCTGAGCTGCCTCCTCTTTCTGTCGACAGTGATGGTGTTGAGGTTTTTGCTCTATGAAAGACTATTTTCTTACTGCTTTTTTTAAATATTTACTCTTAATGGAGATTTGGGGTGTTCATTGATTGATGCTTCGGTGGGCCGAATGCCAAACAAACTTTTTATTTTGTGAAATGTTTAATGCAGACAAAAAATTTCACGGGATTGCTAAAGCTTCCGATTTGTATGCTTTCATTTAGGTGATGGTGTCTAAGTAGGAATTTGAAATGGGATGTAGTACTTAAGCTTAATTTATGGAGGAACCTACGCATAACTTTGCAAAGTTGGTGTTTTTTTCTTGGGGGGTCTATTTTTATATCTCCATAGTAAGAATTTTATGTTAATTTTTGTTAGAATAGGAATGAAATTTTTAGTATAAATCAAAGGAAGATGTGAGAATAAATATATTAGAGATCACAAACACAAGATACACAAGTTTTTGGTTCAATGATGTTTGCCTATGTCCATAGCTGCATATAGATGTTAAATATTTCATTAAGCTTCAAAAGACACATTAAGGATTTCTCTTTGTACAAAATTGAAGATAATGATAGAGATATCAATTTGTCAATGTCAACAATTTAGAGGGTAGGCAGCCAGTTGTTGTAAACATGAGAGTTGAATATGGAGAAAAAGATGTTGTTCCTACTATAACTTTGTTTCCTTCTTTGTAGCTAGAGTTCAAAAGAGAACTTCTCCCTATTATATTTGAGAACTACTATAAGTTCAAATGTTTTATAGAGGAGTTTTATCCTGATATTCAGAGCTGCACTTGGCATAAAATGGTATGGCCAAAAAGAAATATTATTAAGCACTCGGTTTTTGTTTGGCTAGCATTAGTCGGAGGCTTAAAGACTGCGGATGCTCTTCAAATAAGAAATATTTTGGTTCCGGACACTTGCAGCTTATGTCATTCGTATAAATAATCTGTATCTCATATGTTTTTTGAATGTTCTTATTCATTATCTATTATATGCGCTCTAATACCTGGAATGCAAAGTTTCCTTCTTAGGCCCACGATCTTGCAGGTTTTTGAGTGGTTAAAAGGAGAACATAAAGGCAATGCTGAGGTTAAAAACTTTTATAAAGTGTTGATTTGCTGTGTCATTTATCACATATGGAAAGAGAGAAATGGTAAAAGATTTGGGAATACCACAAACTGCATTACTACCTTGTTGTTCAACATTAAAAGAAATATGTTTGAAAAGGTTTCAAAATGGAAGAACTCTCTGGAATTGCTGGGAAAATTATAAAGAGGCAGGCTGCTTCTTATCAGGTCGCTACATTATCGAGAGAGTTTTTATGTCCCTTCGCCGAAATCGTTTGCCTGTAGTTTTTGCCTAAGCTGGACAATGATGAAGCTCCTTATGCAGGCCCCATGGATGGTCTTCGGACAATCAGGGAATAGTGACTGATATGATCGTTTTGTTGGCATAACTGAGTCCAGGTTTTATTGGGCTGGGGAGCTCTCTCTGTTTTTATAAGATCTCTTTTTTTTTTTTGGCCTCTTACCTTTTTGAGCTAGCTGTTTATGTTTTTTTGTGATCGTGTGATTTTTGGCATTCTTATGTTGGCTTGTTGTGGGGGTTTCTCATTTCTTACATGTAATTTTTTATGCTAATATACGGGCAAAGCCCAAATTTTTCCCAAAAATTTTTTTTTTTTTTTAAAACTTTTCTTTTTGATGGAATCAAAACTAACATAAAAAAGAAAAGCACCTCATTATTTTTTAGGAAGAAGAATATTTTCTCTTGGAAGCACTAAAAAAAACTTCTCCATTTGTTCTCCCGGTTGATATATCCTCTCTCCCTCCCTCTTTCTTTTCTAAGTATTTGATTGTGGTTGTGGATGATCCTTCTAAGATTTTATTTATAGTGGTAATTGTTGGGAAGTAAGCCACACAATGAAAACAATAAAAATAATAGTGCGATGAAGAAGAAAGAACATCAAGATTTAGCGTGGAAAAATTTTAAATTAGGAAAAAATCATGGAGCTACATAACACCAAGAAATTCATTATGAAGATTGAGAGAAATTATACAAATCTCTCTTCTTAATGTGAGAGCTCGTTACTTTGATTTGTTTCTCTCTAGATCTGATTTTCCTCCCAGGATCGTCCGGGACGATCAGTGCAGTGAAACAACTGATTTTTCTGGAATGGGATCGTCCAGGCCGATTTTGGATCGTCTTGGGACGATCAGATGAGACAAAAATCCCGAGAGCAAAACCGAAATTATCGGCCTGAGGAATCGTCCTGGACGATTGGATTTTGTTCACATCGGCCAGGACGATGTGGCGATCGGCCGGGCCGATCAGGCTTATGTTATAAGGAAATCAGCTCGTTTTGAGGAGAGAGAAAGATATTTTTATAAAAATCAAAATATCTGAGGAGAGAGAAAGAGAAGGAAAGCGAAGGAAAAGATCATTTTCGGAGGCCGCGGAGCGCTTTTCGTTTCGACGCCGCTGTTGGGAAAAGCGTTTATCTCGTGGTAAGGACTCCGAATCATATTTCTGTTTTCAGAGATATTGAGTTTTGATCGTATTGTGCACTGTTTTGTGTTTTTGTGATCGAAAAACGGACCCGGTTTTGTATTGAGACAACTTTCACCACACAACTTTTGATATGTTATTGATATGAATATTCTACACGATTTGATTGTTTTCTTGAACAATTTCACCGGTTATTTTGGGTTATATGCGATTTTGATTGAATAGAAAAATATCAGGATGTTTATTGATATTGATTTAGTAGAATAATAGTCTTATATTATTGTCGTGAACATTCTATTGTAATTTGGTGAATTGTGATTTTGTAGGATTTTTGTGTAAATTT